ACATTTTTGAATGAAGTCTGAGGGGTTTATACCGCTGTCGTATCTCGCGGCAAAGTTCGAACCGCTTCGTGAACCAGTCACGTGGTTCACGAAGCGAACCACTTGCTGGGCAGCGAGGCTTCGGACGTCATCATTTTCAGCTCCTCCCATAAATGAAGCGAGCCTCGATACGCGCTTCGCGGAAACGTCCCCTCAATTATTCGACACACGCTTCGAAGCCTCGATACAGAACGTTACATCACTACCGACCAGGGTTTCGCGATTTAAGATGGGCAAGAATAAGTACACAACACGACTGAAAAACTTTGCACGGAGGAAAGATTTGAAGCTGGAATATGAGAACGTTTTAGAGAGACCTGGCGAGAAAAGGTGAGCTAAAACCGGATAAATGTGTTCGGCAGCTGCAATGTATTAAAGAGGGTATGCTGCCATATTGTGCATTGGGCCATGCAAGTGCTAAACCAACTACTAAGTCCTTGTAGTCTTATATTAGTTTAATAATAGCTATTTGGTTTAACTTGGAATACGCGGGACTCGCTGTGATACACAACGGCTGTGTTGTCGGAGCCCATTACTTCGCACAGTCCCGAAAAATCCGGGCTTTAACAAGTCGTGTTTTGACGTAGTTGACTGTGGCAGTGACCTCGCTTATTACATTATTTAACTTGGGACTAAGTTGTTTCTTTTCATAACCAAACCATGTAAAGAGAAAGAGGGGCTGTGTGGGTTTAGCCGGCGGAACCACTGTCTGAGTCGGGCTGAGTTTTGATGCCTTCGGTGAGAATCTGCAATGTAAATAGTCATGAAAATAAAGAAAAACTGTTAAATGAGAAGCTGTGATCAAACTTTTGACTTAGAGTACATCAGCAATGTTAATTAGAGCTTTTAAAATTCTTTGTCAGAGTCATCATGAGGGCTGTGATTAATGGGCAAAGGTTTCCTGATGGTGAGGGGAAGAACGCTGAAAAAGCAAAGCAGAACGCAGCTCGAAATGCCCTGGAAAGTTTGAATGAGAAGGAAAATCTAATCCTGCAGGTAAGATGGTGCATGTGCCTGTATATGGAACATGTTTGACAAATTTGTTGATCTTATTCTTAACAATGATGTCATTTCTGAAAAATCTGTTTTTCTTTCAGATGAAGAAAAAAGATTCAAATGCGCAACATTCTCACCTGAAATGCAGAAAAGCTTTGTTTGATGGTATATCTGAACGCAAAACTAACGGGGTGAGTAGCAATACATTATAACCTGTGCTGGTTTAAATCAAACACTAACTTGTATGCATGGTGTAGCTTGTAACTTGGAGCAAACAGTGGATCTTGTTATTACTGTAAATGTTAAGAGGTCAAAATGAAGTACCAGGAAATACTGTCTGACTTATTAAGATCCAGTGACTACCAAGGTTATTATCGTTAACGAAAACTAACGAAATAACGAAAACTAGAAGTGAAAAAACATTTTCGTTAACGGAAATAAAAAGGAAAACTAACTAAAACTA